AAAATCCCATATGGATTAGATTCGACAGGGACAAGAAAGACATGATAGTACCCAGTGGTAATTGTTATTTTTTTTTTCTTTTTTTGTTTCTCGAGCTAACAGTATATAAATGCTTATGTTTTAAAATTAACCTTTTTAAAGTTTACACCTTATGGCGCTTTCCAAATCTTTTGCCAAAGATTCCAACATTTGATCCAGTAATTTCAAAATTAAGAGGTGGCGCAAATTTAATGATTCCTGGTATTGCTTTTCCACCTGAAGGATTGCCGGATGTTAGTGAAGGTGAGATCGTGTCAGTTACCATTAGAGGATCCACGTAAGTTTAGAAATAAATTTTTTAAAATATTGCCACCCGGAAATTAATCCTATTTCGGATTTATTCAGTTATCCACTTGCTGTAGGTTTCATGTGTGTACCTACGAACACTCTTAGACGTGGGTCAGTACAAAAGGGTATCGCTGTGCAAATAATTCATATTTATCGTGATCACTTGTGGAGTATGGGAGATAAAAGTCATCCTCCTGAGGACGAGGATATTAAACTCGATTCTGTTACTCAAAATCAGGAATCAAATGAACAGGACTTTAATGAAGTACAAGTTGTAGATGAGACAATTACTGAGAGTAGTGAGATCACTGATCAGAATGTAAAGACAACAAATGTGCAAGCTTATGATGAAGAACAAGATATTGAGGGTTTATATGAAGAATCAGGTTCCAAAAACAATGAAATTGAAAAACCTTCTGCAAAATATACTACTACAGGTAACTTAATTTCATATCATATATCCTTTTCATAAATCAATTTATAATCGACTTTAATCTAAAAATATAAACAGAAGTCGATAATCTTTTGCAGGCATCATTTTATCAAGCCATCTTAGAAAAATTGACTCCATCTGGTACCTTACCTATCACAAGCTCGCAACTTTATTCTGCTTATATTCTTCCTTCACGTCCAGTTGGAACGGATAATGATGTTGATGTAAAAAAATCTAGCTATAAAAAAGTAATAATTCTTAACTACATTTGCTATGCGTTAATGGTATTCTACAATATAAGATTTATATAGAAACTAATGGATATGTTCTATTTTGATAGATTACAAAATTTCTAAAGGCGATGGAGAAAAAAGGTGTTATTAAACTCAAGGAACAGCGTGGTGATACTCTCTTGGTTGGT